CCTGCGACGGCGATCGTACACCAATGGGAAGGTAGAGGGTCAAAAAAATTCCCCCAAAGCTCCCCCAAAAATTCGCACATCCAACTTACACAGAGACCTAGTACGGACCCTTCCAAATGCCACTATCTGTACTCCGAGTCGTTCCGTCACCACCTCAACTCTCTCAACTGAAAGTGTTGCCATCTAGGGGCGCAAGCACTTAAGTTCTCCTACAAGTGTAAGCGAGTTGCCAAGTGGCCATTTCACTATTTGACAACAGACATGTTATGAATCCTATCTATGGGAGAAGTACTGCAGTATTCTGTATTTTGCAGCAAACTCTACAGCTCCAACCTTCCGAGCATCTCATCGGACAGCCGCAACAATGCAGTCTATCTACGAGACATTTGTAGAGGACGATGGTTCAGATGATGGCAATGTCGTTCGGGGAATCGATCCCGGACTCGGTGAGCATTTTTAGGCTTCACATACTGATCTATTGAATCTTCGCCACTTTGAACACCAAACGATGGCAATACGAAACACCGAACAGCAAGCAAACATGAGAGCGTAATCAGGTAATTTCGTAGGTTTAAAATGAGGCAAGGTCCTTTCAACGGTTATTTAAGGCAAAAATCAATAGCAAGGGTAGCGGAAACTTCACAGCGGATATTGGTTCGTTGTGTTCACTACCAACTAACTGCCTATTATACCCAAAATCACGGGTACAGTATCGTAGTGTGGTGAAGTGGTGGTGTGGACATGCTCGCCTTCCCCACACTTACCTACGAGCTTCCCGGATTTTCCAGTTTTTCACCAAAGTTTTCCGAAATTTCCCGAGGAAGTCTACCACTCTTAACCAATAGTTTTGCTCGCACATCGTTGGTCGGGATTTTGTGGGCCGTACGACCCTCCGTCATCCGTGCCCTCTGTTCCTCTCATCGAATTCGAGCCGATTGAGCGGCGGGGGGCCGGCTGGGTAGAAAATCGGCAATAGCACATTGTGATTGTGACACATAGACCCCCCCTGCCTTCTACAACTCAGTTTTTCCCATACTTCCCGCACTTTTTCTTCTTGCACTTTATCTTCAAATCCCTACTTTTCCCAAAAAATTTTCTGTCGAGCGGGGGAGGGATATACTACGTATGGAACAGGAAAATCTACAAAAAGTCAACCATTGCTCCTACGACGATAAAACGTAAATAAGACCCCCGCGCCTCCCAACAATGACCAATGACGACCCTACCCCCTTTACAACGTCCATAAAGCGAGAAAAACCAAACCAACTACCAGATGAATTCTCCCGCGGTCCAAATACGGACCCCCCCTATTCCGGACTCCCCAACAACGATGTGCCCTGCCGAAGGATTTGTTGTCGAGCGGGTATATAGTACACATGAAACAGGAAAAATCATTCGAAAAGTCAACAACCGGAAATTTTTTTCCAACACAGCAAATTTCTCTTAAAGGGACGTACGACCCCTCCCCCTTTCCGAACCACCCTATACGACTCCCTCCCAAGCCGGAAAGCATGACCTCCCCCTATGTTTTCACACAACGCTGCTGAGAGTACAGTCAGCGATATATTCCATTTTCATCCTTTTTAAGCTGAAAGAAATCAGGAGCGCCGACGTTACGTCCATGGACCGTTCATTTCTAACAGAGGTTTTGAATACTGTTTGTCTTTATTTCCACTTATTCATTATTTACATTTTCTAAGTTATTTCATTCATTCTGAACAATTTGAGAGTTCAGCCTACGCTAGACGTATGGAGGAGGTAGACCTACTCTCTAACCTTCCTCACTTCTTTGAAAAGAAGACCCAATTGATTGAAGAAGACACAGGACTGGCCTGTCCCCGCCCGCTTGATAAGCGTGTGCTGCGCCCCGTTACCAAGACCAACTCAATTAACTGCGCCTAACTAAGCCAAACATTCATGGGATGTTACCAATCCGAAGGCATTTAGTTTGGCTTTTGGATAGAGTCCGATAAGCTTAGCCAAAAAGAAATGGCTGATATAATTAGTAATTTTTTTCAGGGAAGCTAGACGGTCACGAAGTACTGATTTTCGACATTTCTGGCATAAACAAGGAACAGGTCTGTTGATTCTCCGCACTATGATTTCTAGGTGAAGAGAAGGTTGGAAAAGTTTGCTCATTCACCTTGGAAAGCACCTTCTGTTTTCCAATCAATAATCTCAGAATGCGCCATCACTGTGAACCTCATAAAAAATTGTAGGAATCTAGTGTGACCTGTTTGGCACGCTCACAAGAGCATTTATCACGGGCTTCACTACCACTGGGTATTTCTGTAAGCCTTGAATGAAAGCCTATCATCATTTCAACTAATACTATGTTACTGTTACCAATCTTCTCTGTTTGTTATGGACTTTATCCCTGTTTTTTTCCTTATTTTGGCATTTTTGTGGATTTTAGGCTAACGAGCAGAACCATAGTTGGGTAGGCCAGGAAACCTACGACAAGAACATGTGCACTAATTAGCTAAAATTCCCTGGCTAGCGAAGTCGATATCTCTAGTTTTTTTGCGTAAAATCAATAAGATCTTGGTGCGACCGCAGCGCGCGTGACGACAAATACAACATTTCGAACGGCAACATGTATCTCTTGACCAGCACCCTCCAGTGATGGGACTAATTTACAAA